GGAAATTGGTGCCTTGATCTGAGTAGATTTCCTGTGGCGCACCTCGGCGGGCAATGAACCTACGTATTGCCATCTTGCAGGATTCGGAAGACAGAGTATAGGCGACTTCTAAGTGGACTGCTCGGGTTCCTAGGCAGGTGAAGAGTGCAACCCACCTTTTAACACCACCACGGCCAAAGCGAACAGTGATCGGACCGAAATAGTCCAGTCCCGTAAAGGTGAAAGCCCTGACATACGGCGTAAGGCGAGCCGAAGGCAGTGGAGCCATCGGTGGGACTTGTGGTTTCGATTTGTAGACTCTACACCAGTTACAGCAACTTGCCACCTTCTTGACGGCTGTTCGCAGTTCTGAGACGTGGAACTTCTGCCGCATTTCGTTCACCACCGTTTCGTTGTTCGCGTGTCTATACTTCTTATGATACCAGTTAATCACTAGCTGCGTGACGTAGTGATCTTTCGGCAAGATCACGGGAAACTTGGCTTCATCTGAAACGCACTCCGCGGCAGAGATGCGTGATCCCATTCGCATGACTCCGGTTGGGTCTAGAAACGGAGATAGTTTGAATATCCGACTGCTCTTCTGGATTCGCTTACGTTGCTCTAGCTGCACTTGGTGATTTTTCCGCAGAATTTTACATTCGTCCGGGTATTCACTCGCTTGGATCAGCTTAAACACGGTCGACTCCGCTAGTTTACACTCCTCACTGCTCAAGGTTACTTCTCCGTCCTTCTTTGATTCGTCCTTGCCCTTCTGCCTGCAGCCAAACCGTAGAACGAATGCTACTGTGCGGGTTAACCTTTCCCACTTTGAAAACCGTTTGAACTCGATGACTGGCTGCGTCGGTGGCAGCTGGTGCACATGGACCATCCTTAATTCTTCGGCTGTTGTCGACTCTACCGCTTCCTCTGGCCAGCTACACTCCGGCTTATACAGAAACTCTGGGGCCTTGAACCACCTGCTCTGTTCTTCGAAACATGGTCCATGACCCCACTTGGTGGCTTCATCGGCTACGTTCATTCTCGTGGGCACCTTCTTCCAATCGCTGACCTCCGTTTCATCCAGAATTTCTGTTACCCGGAACGCTACATACTGCTTGTACTTACGCGGGTCTGACCGAAGCCAGTTCAAGACCGTGGAAGAATCGCTCCACAATACTTTGCGCTTGATCTGCAACGTGTGATTTGCTATGATGGACTTCATAAGTCGTGTTCCAATTACGGCTGCTTGTAGCTCCAACTGTAAGTACCCTGAATATGTTTCCATAACATACCTTACATCTAAATATTAAACTATACAACAGATACACAAATCGGAACAAAAAGCTGTTTAAGTACGGTGGATTTACTAAAGTAGAGGACAATAACTGTAGGTTAACCTAAGAATGTAAAATTTATCAACAAAAAAGTAAAACATAAAATTGAATTTCAGCTTAAAGCTAACTCACAACAACAATAACGAGTTTTACTCGAAGAGGTCCGAACACAGAATCCACTGCTGCAACAACACTCTTTGATTCACTCTGAATTTCCCCAAAGATTTCCCCTGAAAAAAAAACTCTCCTCAGTATTTCATTGAAACTATTCTCCTGAAATTCCCAATGAATTATTTTTTTAATTACCTTAAATTCTATGAAATGATCATCAGAACTCACAAGTAACTCTTCTTTGAGATCTCCAAAAAAACAGGAAATCCTTGAAACTTATTTAATCCTTTAAAATTTAATTTCCTTTGAAATTTCCTTGAAACTTTCCTTAACTTTCAATTGAATTAATTTCTGAATTACTCGAAATTCTCTCTGTAGATCATTGGTATACGAGCACCGACGAACCAAGATGCCATATTTAAAACACGTTAAACACTACCGCCATCTACTCATTCGATTGCGTCTTATCATGAGCAAGGACACGAACACGCGTTAAATGTATATTGACTTGGTTTGCGTCTGACCTCGTTTGAAAGATCTGATCGCCCGTTTGACAGATGGAATCGCTCGTTTGACAAATCGAATTGTGGGCAAACGACATGTTCCTGTGACATGCCGGTTCGTCGGTGATACGAGTACAATCATGAAATGCTTCTATTTTGCAAATGGAGCATTTTACTTAATCTGGTTAATGCTACGTTAGTAGAAAACTTAATGACTACTCAATAGACATATAATATAGAAAAAATAATTTCTTTTCAGATTTTTAAGTGTATACATAGATTTCAGCTTTTCTACCACTGTAGCAGAAACCAGATTTAAATAAAATGCTCCATTTGCAAAATAAAAGCATTTTAAGATTGCATTTGTATACCTCACCGTGGAAAATTTTGAAACCATCATCACTTTCATAGTTCTTCTATTCTCCACGCGGTACCAACTTTGATTTGTCAATACATTTCCACAGTTATTAATTGAGAGCTTTCTATGCCAATCAACGCATGAATTTGTATATTGTGATATTCTATGCCAATGGAAGCCGAGAAAGATTTACTATTACAATATAACGAGAAACGTGCTGAAATAATGTCCAGAGGAGATTACCCATCACAGCCAGTTTGCATTCCTGACATTAACCACCGAAATTACAATGCAATTTCGCCGTAAATATAAACGTGCAAATGTGCACACAACGACCCAACGATGCAACATTCTATTGTTATTTAATTTATTATTGATCGTCGTCCTGTAAGCTCCCAGTGAATTTTACAGAATCCGAAAAAATCTGAAAACTTCCACTCTGTAATTACACGATACTCCGTACCGGTATATGCAACAATGCCCGTAGCTGTTTCCGTCCATAAATACCGAGATTTATCCGATGTCCGATAGACTTGGGACCACATACATATGCATATTGCATTTTTACCGTTTCCTCTGCCTATGGGCTGAGTAAATTTACATAATTTGCAGTGTCCCACTGCGCCACATAGCGTCCTCTGGTCCTGGGGAGCATTCAATAATTACTAAAGCACGTAGGATGGTGTTAAATATTTTCTAATGTTTTCTAACATGGGAGGGAGGGGGTCTCAAATATCATACGTAAGCATGAACAAGTCATATACAGACCATTTAAATATACGATGAAAGATCTTACAATCCGTAATTAGTGCATGGCCCCCTGCCTGCAGTTGCAGCTCAGCAACAACAGTCAGAGACGGTGTCATTAGAACCATCCATCCATCTCGGCAGGTCGGTGCTGTTACTGCTAGCCCAGCTGAAAATATTTGATTTTCGGCTCTTGGTCATATGCAAATGGTTGCCGGTAAGCCTTGATGTCACGTGCAGATTTTCGGATTTATCGTGACAGATGCAGCAGTAGCAGCAGAGCGCAAAGCCAACGGATGCAACCGACATTTAAATTGCCTAATTAATTTAATTTAAGCTCGGGGAAATCAGAAGCGATTGCGGTTTTGTTCGCTGAACACGGTTTTTGCATTAATTGTCGTGACCGCGTTGGATGCAGGATGGATGGATGGATGTATCAATCGCAAACACAGGAGCTGATACTGCTAATTTAATGAGATAAGCGAAATCAAATCCGATTGTATTTGTCAATTAGTGGTTTTCCGGCCAGATATGTATGATTTTGATTCGTAATGCACAAAAGGCGGCATCAATTTTTGGGAAAGTCAATTTCACTGCAATTTACTGAGTGAGAAAATTCATATGTTTCATCGCGACCACGGTAATCAAAGTGAACCATTTTCAATTTTCTCTTCAACATTTTCGCGAACCCGCTTTGATTAATTCGAAGATAAAAAAAACAACGAAATTAATTTTCCCTTCGCGGTAGATTTTTAATTTTCAATCTGAATTTATCACGTGGCAGAGGACCAGGAAAACTTTGTGATAACTTTTCGGTATGAACCTACTCGGTTTTTCGTCGCGTCGATAAACGCTCCTGAGCAATCAGCTCGGAAGTTTTCGATCCGGAACACCTAAAGGTAAAAGTTGTTTCAGGGCGACCTAAATCCTGTTACTTTTTGATTGCAGGTGGTAATTAACAATCACCTACCTAAATTTATTCGTCTTCTTCTTCTTCTTTGCATTTCAAGCTTGATGCTTATCGCATTTCAGTTTATGCGGTGCTCTCCACTTATTGTTCTAGATACATTTCCACAGTTATTAATTGAGAGCTTTCGATGCCTGTACAAAGATCCACTTAGAATCCGGACACTTTATTTATTCTATAGCAGTGCCTCTAGTGGTCAGATTTGAAATGTATTGACAGCGATTTGTTTTCAAAGCACACGTCTTTCAATGGTGAAAGTTTCGTCTTGATACGTGCAGTATTAAAAAATTTGTACTAGATATAAGACGAGAATGCGAACCCAGCCACCTCCAGTATGGTCTTAATTTGTAGGTGCACCTTTCCCGGCTCAGCTAAGGGAGGCCCCTAAACATAAAGTACAGTATAACTAAAAAACCGTCCTTATGTTACAGAAAATCAACTATGCTTTCATTCTTCTTCCTGGGTGTGCTGCTCAGCTCTCAAATTAGTGTTCTTCGAGGAACTTTCACGGTGCCTAATCGAGTACATTGTGTGGCAAGCAGAGAGAAGTAGCAACAAATTCATCTAGTAGGGGAAATGAATGTAATATCGGCCTAAATGCCCCTAATTTGGGCCCATACATAAATTCAGCAATCGGCTAGATTTTTAATAGCAACCAAAAGTATCCATTAGTACCGCGATGGGCCCAGTCTTACATTCATAGGCCAACATTAGAGCCATTTCCCCTATCCCGACAGTTTCCTTTGAAGTACCATCTTCCCAAATTTCGTTCCTTCATAACAGAAAATATTTATTTCCGATTGCTCTCGAGCCCCACTTTCATCCCTACCACCGCCATTCCCCGCTGTATGTATTCTACACACCCAAGGCTAACGCCGTCATAAATATACTTTCAGTGACAGCCGCACGCACATATAACCGACAAAGCATACAATTATGGACAAATGAATTGCCGTTTCATTCATTTCCCTTCTTCCGGTGTTTTTTTTTTCTCTCTACAGGCAACCCACGCAACAAGACAGCCCTCAAACCGGGTCACTCGCTGATGCACTGGATTCGGCTGGGAAACTCCGGTGTGGATCTGGCCGGAACTGGCGGTAAGGTGAGACCCGTCAACTACGCCGAACTGGCACAGCACAACAAACCGGACGACATCTGGACGGCCATTCGGGGGAAGGTCTACAACGTGACCAGATATTTGGACTTTCATCCTGGAGGTGAGTGTCAGAGTTTGAAGCTCTAAATTAGACTAGGATTGATTTTCAATTCGGTTGCCTTTCCGACAGGTATTGACGAACTGATGCGTGGAGCTGGCAAGGATGCCACCAAGCTGTTCGACGAGGTCCACGCTTTCGTAAACTACGAATCCCTCCTCGCCAAGTGCTACATCGGTCCACTGCGTAGTACCGGAGTGCTCCACCTAGTTCCCGAAGAGCCAGCGGAGTCCTCGTTCCTAAAACCACCTACCCCTTCGGTGATCATCACTCCTAGCTCCCCTTCAATCCGCACACTGAAAGCCAACTCCGCCAACTCGATAGCGAGCAGTTCTAGCGAGGAATCCACTAGCAAAGCTGCTCCCGTAGTGCCTCGCTTCGACTGGATCCAAAAGACTGCCGAAGTCACGTTCATCTTCTACACCAAAGCGCTCTGCAACCCGGCCGTCGTCGTAGAGTTCGTCAACAATCTAGAATTCAACGTGCGGATTTTCCTCGAGGGGAATGTCCGTCATCGGTATCAGTTCCAAGTGGCGAACAATCTACAGTGGCCTTGCACCGTGCGACAATCGCTGGAAGCCGGTAAGGTCGAACTTGTGTTCAACAAACTCCTACCGGGACTGTGGACTAGCTACGGCCAAATGGAACACGAACGCTCCGAAAACTACCCGCTGGAGCTGTACGAGTACGACGTGGCGACACGGCTCGAAATCACGCACGATTCTTGCGCACTTCTGCTTCGACCGAAGAACAATTCCATCCTTCAGGTGATACCAATCGGGTATCATCTGTCAATATCGGGTACGGTCGCCGACGGGCAAGTTGTCACGCGTAGCTACACTCCCGTTCCTGCCAGCGCCATCCCGACGGATTGTCCGGCGACGTTCGTTCCGCTGCTGGTGAAAACCTACCAGCACGGGGGCCTGTCCAAACACCTGACGAGGCCGGTCCCGTTGGCCACTTCGCTGCAGCTGTCGCAACCGAGTGGGAGCTTTTCGCTCGCCAAGCTCAAACATCACAACCGCATTGCCTTACTAGCCGCCGGCAGTGGAATCACGCCGATGCTAGCCTTACTCAATTATCTGCTGGAGAGGAGTAGTAATAAGATGTGAGTATGGTCGGGGTGGGGATTTACGAGAAAAAGTTTATTTCTAGATAGAGCTGGAATTAGGGCGTAACAGCCTTTGTAAACAATGACTTCTCTCAATAGTTTCTAGGAATTCAAGGCACGTCTACACAAACCAACGTATCCAAGTCTTCCCCTACTCGATGGTGATGTCGATTTTCCAGGGAGAGCTATGAATTTCGAGAAATCCTGGAGAGAAGTCATGGTTTACAAAAGCTGTTACGCCCTAATTCGAGCTCTATCTAGATTTACGTGTGCGAGCATCGAAGAACACTAACGGATCGTTGAAAGCGCACACCTATGTTTGGTGGGGGAAATCTTGGAAAAGCCGTTGAGTAATCTGTTGATGTTTCTAGGAAGTAAACAGAACAACTTCAATACAAAAGGGAAATGTAGCGAGGCAAATTGGTGCTGAACCTGCTCGCTAACTTTGTAGGAAGAGAGAAGTTGTTTTTCCTATGAAACGAAGATCCAGCAGGCTTATGATGAGATGAGCAAGAAAACATAGGCGTGTAAAGTGTCCAGAGTTATCAATGCTCTATGCCGAATGAGTCGCTTGATTGCAATTGGAATAACGTAAGGTCGCCATTCACCGCTAACCGTATACTTGTTTGTCAAAAAATTGCAAATTATAGCCTCAAAAATCAAAAGCATATTATGCTGAATACAGTAATGACCCGATTTTGTCAGCCCTCTTTTTGAAAATCTTTTCTAATGTTCTACCTCCATGCGCTTTGCAACGGTCTTATTGCACCAATGATGATGAATGAGAAAGATTTTGAATTGGGTTCTTTAATTTTGAAAAAATGTATCGTTTTTTATACATCATCTGAAAGAGCTTCGTTTTCTGAGTACAGGGATTTTTTTTTCGAACCCACACACTTTCATCTCGATTTTTAAATCAAGATTTAAAGCAAAATAATAACTTCACTGTTTGACACTAAACTAACAAACTGACAGCTCGCTTCCATACAAAGTGACAACGAGGGGCGCTAATAAGGTGATTTTTACAAATGTAATCGTGCGTTTTTAAAATAGTTTCAGTGTACCAAAATTGATGAAATTTTAGGTTTGGGTTCCATTTTTAATACAGATTACGAATATGCATTTACCTCAATACCCTTGAAGAACCCAACTATGGTTACATGAAATCATTGAAAGATAAAAGTCTGATGCGTGGAAGGGTTGACAAAATCGGGTCATTACTGTATTGTTTTTTTGTAGTTATAATTTACAGAAATAATGATAATAAGTAAGTGAGCGGTGAATGGTGACCTTGCGTTACCCAAGTAACCAATCCAATAAAAGTAGCTAGTTCGCCTTAAATGCAGGGCTGGTAGCGCGTAACTTTTTAATGACTTGGTCACTTTTTTAAAGCCAGTCACTAAAAAGTCTCTATTTTCAACTTTTTTTAGCGTGAATTTATTTCAAGATTTATAATTCTTTGCGTTGTTTAATGGTCTTTCTCTATTTACAGGATGTCTACTTAATTTTCTGGATAAAATTACCTGAGTTTTCCTGGTTTTTCCAGTAACTTAAAGGATAAATTAAAAAAAAACAGCTATATTTTAAATGCGTTAAAAATATGCTTTTTTTTGGTGGATCAAAAACAACAGCAATTTTGCCAAACGTTTTTAAGACAATCAGTTTTAAAGAAACAGCTTTACAATCAAATACATTGAATGTTGAAGTTTAACCCTTACTTAATTTCTCACTTAATAAAGTTAAAAAACTTACTTAATTTGAGGAAGTCCAAGATCTAAAATTATTCAATATCTTGAAGTTTCGTATTCCATGTGTAAGTTCAAGATATTGAAAATTTCCAAAGTGCCAGATTCAAAGAAATAAATAAATGATTTATTTCAAGCTTGTAATTGTAGAAACTTTGGAGAAGTTCTGAGTAATGAAAAGAAATGAAGCTTCATAAACAAACTGCGGGAACATAAGGGAAGTTAAGGGGGTATTCCCGATCTTTTTTTTCAAAAAATCAAATTTTTTTTTTTCACGTTTTTTTGTACTTTAGACTATATACTTTCATCCCCCCAAGCCGTTTTCCGATCAGCGAATTCGGTGTCCAGGCATAGCTGACTAATGGTAAGAACCCCCAAATGGTTTTAACTAAAGTCAAAACTTTAAACGCGTTTTTCTCGAAACCACATTTTTTTTATCGGGCGAAGATTTTTCTCAGAAACTATAAGAGATATTGACTTGAATCTTTGCGCATTTTGTTCCTTATTAAATTCTTTGGAGCTTCTCCCACTTTCAGCCAAAAATATTAACATTTAACATTGTTTGAAGCACCTTAAAGCTGCAAAAAAGCGGGCTAAAAATCGCCTGTTTTTTCATATGGCCGCCATTTTGTTAATTTGCTAGATTTTTTGCTGCCAACGGGAGAAGCTCCAGAGAATCTTATGCAGATTATTATTTCATCACGAAATCTGTTTCAGATGAAGCCGTTCCAGAGAAAAGTCTTCGCCCGTCCAGGCGTTTGCGGCGAACAGGGGTCTGTTTGCCGCCATTTTGTGACGTCAATAATGTCTTTTTTTATGTCGAAAAAAATTTATTTGTAAACTTTAATGTTCAATAAACAAGAATCCCAAAGAGTTAGGCGCATTACTATTCATTTTCCTTGAAAAAAAAAAATAATTGAAAAACAGGCCGAAAAAAGGCAAAAGATTGGGAATACCCCCTTAATACGCTGAAAATATGGAGAACTTACTGGAAGCTTTAAGAACTTCAAGCAGCATCTGAAAATTTTCGGGACCTTTTTTGAAGTTCCACAGGTGTCAAGCGAACTTGAAAAATATAAGGGGTATTGTGCAGAAGTTCTAAGTACCTCAGAAAAACTAGATCTGGAGATTTTTGGGGAATTTCAGATCTTAAGAGCAGTTTCCATAGCTTTAGTCCAGACTTTTGAAGCAGTTTAAAGATCTATAATCGGTAAATTTAGAAAAATTCAGGATAGTTCCATTATATGCTGAAAAAAAATCGAGAACCCTTAAGGTGTTCCGAGAATTTCATGGAAGTACAGAGTCCTTCAGAGAATTTATGAAAACTTCAGAAATATTTCAGAAAATTCACAGAAGTCCAGAGAAATTCACGGAAATCTAAAGGTGTTTACGAGAATTCCATTTATGTCCGAGTACCGGAACCAAGATCTTCAATAGAATTGAGAGCTTTAGGGAAGCTTCGAGAACATCAATACATATTAGAGAATCAAAGGGCAGTTCATATAATTTCAAGGAAATGGCAGAAACCTTAAAGAGTTGCGATAAACTTAGGAATTTCCGAAAACTTCAAATTTCTGGAACGTGATGAAAATTGTATAAACATCCGGAAAACGTGAGAGTATTTTAAGCGTGTCATGGAGATTTTAAGAACTTAAAAAAACGCAAAAATTTAGCTAAATTGATTAAAGAAAATCAACGAAGTTCCATTAATTTAAAAAAAAAATGCGAGAACTTTTAGCAAGCAGTGATACCTTTAAGAAATTCCAGAGAATTTCTAATAAATTTAGATACATTTAGATAGTTTCATGATATTCAGCGAAGTTCCGAGTAATTCACGGACGATCAGATAGCTTCAGAATAATCCCATTAACTTATGAAAATTGGCAGAGACTTACAAAGAGTTCCGTGGAATGATGGGGTATTCCATGAATTCTACGATTGATCCGAAAACGTCAGAAGCGTCAGGGAATTATTAATAGATATCAGTAAATTTGCCGGACTCGCAGTTTTCTTCAGGATGTCGTGTTGAGCGGTTGTTTGTGTTGATTCGTGCAACGAGAGTCAATGTGTAGTGCATAAAGTGTTTTGTAGAAAATGATTTCATTCCGTAATGAGGAAAGTTTTTTTTTTTTTTTTTTTGCGGTTTTTGAGACCTCAGTTTTAACAAAAGAAACAAAATTAAAATGGTGATTGAAGCACCAAGTGTTGTAATTTTTTTAATGCCCGTTAAACGACAAAATGGTCAGAAGATGACGAAGCAACGAACAAAATGGTGTCCGAGGCAAATAGGTTTGTGGTGTGAGTGATAGTTTTCTGCAAACCAAAGCGACGACCTGCTGAATCTTGCATTCAAAATAGCATCATACCTGAGCTTTTGTTACTGGGATGCCAGAACACCGGAGGATTACAGAAGATAAGTTTTTTGTTAATTCAATTCATTGAAATATTCTTCAGTCACTGATATTTATTGAAATTATTGTGTGCCAATCGTCCATTTAAATAACTTATTTTTCAGTGAGGATGACTGGTTTGCTAAATTTAGCTATTTTACCCGATTTATTTGTTCCACATGCTAGCAATTTATGATCGATTCGGTTTCAGCTGACAACATTGTCCATCCTTCATTTTGTCTGCTCATCGTAAGCTGTATATTCTTCTTTAAATGTCGTTAAGCTATCTGCCAACAGATGGCCTAGGGTGAACTAATGCTTTTTCGAAAGAGCGATTCACATACACTGCCGTTGAATAATACTCAGTGACGCGGGTTGTAGGGTGTACGGCAAGTGAATTTGGCTCATGTTTGCGTCCCGTTCACTCGGGTTCGCGGAGGTGTGGATAGGGTGGATCTCTGCTCGGGTATTAATGGGAGATATTTACTCATATTTGAGTGGAGATTTACTCATTCTGTGGATGTCCTGCGCTTTTGCGAGTTTGCATGGGCTCGGATATGAGTCGGATTCATTTGCCGTGTATGTTGTTGTCTATTTTTATTTTTGGTGGGTTTTTTTTATATATAAGAAAGTAAGAAAAAAGTACCCAACGGAAAGTTCACTTTTACCTACTTTTGACTAGTTTGTCTCCTTTTCTCCTTCTAATGTTGTCAAAAACGGAGGAGTAAACCCACCCAACAGGGGTAGTAAAGTGTGGGAACCCAACGTTGAGTATAACCATATTTACCTACTGTTGGGTACAACTAACTTACTTTTGGTAAAAAGCCAGTGGAAAACTCCATACGAACTGCACACAAGTAAA